GCGAGCGCCCCACGGGTGCTCCGCGCCCCCCCGGCGCTGCAGGGGCGGCGTGGCCCTTCCCGCTGTACCTGCTGGGAACGCTGGGGCGTTTATGGGGCAGCAGGGTACCATGCCAGCAATATCGATTCGTGTGTAACGTGGCTGAAACTTGTGGTGTCGGGGAAGTGCAAGCTCAGGAGTTAAGCACAACATGACCAGAACGAACAGGGAAACCATTATGGGTGTCTTGTCTGGGGGGTTAAAAAACTCGACCCTTTTAGGGGACGTTCTGTCTGAAGGGCTGTGCCCAGGGATGAAGCACAGAACAAAGGTGTTTCACTCTGCGGTGGCATCCTGGGCAAGGCAGAGGTGCCTGTAAGAGCTCTGCACCTGACCTGCTCTTCCTCACCTCTAGAGCTTTTCCTCTTCCGATGCGCTCGAGCTCCATGTGGGGAGGTTTTGCCTTGCCGGCGGCTCCGAGCCAGCCTGTGGTCCAGGCCAGAGGCGTTTGCTGTGCCGCAGGCCAGGTGAGCTGATTGTGAGGGCGAGTAGCAGCACAAGGGTAAACTTGGGTGCCTTTGTCAGGAAAAATTCCGATCCAGACCTCAGCATTCAAAGCTTGCAGCTGCTAAGCTTGCATTAAGTGGCTGTAGAATGCGTGTTGTGTATGCTGCGTGTTTTGGTCAGGGCAGGAACAGCAGCAAGTACTTTTAACGCTGCAATTAATAGGAGCAAGCAGCATATCACCATTGCAGTTGCTATAGAAGAATGTCAGTAGGCATTCTGTTGGTATTTTTAAAGTAAATCTTGTGTGAAGAGCAGACTTAACAGTGCTGTATTTTCGTACGTCCGGAAGTGAGCAGTTGTGGTTGATAAAACTTGATTAATGTTGTTCATCTAGTGGATTCCTCCAGGGCCTGCTAAACCTAAAGGAGGTACTGTAGATGTCTAGGGGTGATTTCATACCTGTAAAATAAAGGAACAGAACAAGAAACACAGCATTAAATAGCGGTCCAGTACTATTTCTAACTTTGGATAGAAGTGGATTGGAATCTGATCTGGTTGTGCTATCTCCTGTAGTAAATTAAAAAAAAATATTTGTGTTGTTTCTTCATCTATCAAAAGTTTCTTCTGTATAGGAGAAGCAGTAGAGAGAACAGCTAATGCTGCTCTTTCATTTTGGGACTCCACTTATCTGGAGGGAGGCAGCGTTTATTGGGATTCTGAAGCTTGGTTTGAACACCCTGTCAGTTACTTGAATCGTGTTTTTTGGCAAAAATATTGTCAGCAATGAAAAAAAAACCCTCTTGAGTTCTGTGGCAAGGCACGGTCTGTAGCGTTCCCAGGTAGAACAGACACCCAGGATGTGACCTTGGAGTCTGTCACCATTGAATAGGACCAGTTACTTCAGAGAAAGAAAATGTGCATTGAGGACAAACATGCCAAAAGGTGTAGCAGAAACTTCCTCCTGAGACTGCTGGAAATGCTGCTGCTCCGCATCTGATGCAGGAGGAGGATGAAACGGTAGACAATGCTGAAGTTTTACTTACATAATGGATCAGAACTAATTTTGTTGCTCGGTAGCTCTGCAAGGATGGCTTTATGGCTGTGGTGCTTTACTGCAGAAATAGTTTTACCTGCATCTCTTCTAGAATCTCTTACCTTGGTGTGCTAAAATGTAGAAAAACACGAGGAAAAAATGACACTGGAAACATTCCTCCCTCCCGATATAAATGCAGAGGTTCACATGACATACCGGTGAATGCACATATGTCTGGCGTGGCTGCCGTTGCTAAGGGAGAGTAAGTATTTGTTTTTAATCGAATAACGTGCAGATGGCAACGCAGAGCTTCCAGAATGCAGGCTGTGACCTTGAAAGCTGTGGAGAGGCTTGTTTTGCAGCTGACTGCCTTCTCCGCAGTTTTTGTGTGTTATGGATGCACGAGCCTCCAGAAATACCCCAAAATGTATGGGGGTTAAATGATGGTTAATGCTTTGCTTTGCGTAGCACGTTTTGGTTCTTTTTCTAATCTTTCAGCAATTACGTGATGTTGTCGTCTTCTGTGGGGCTGAGGAGGGAAGAGCAAAATGCAAATCAGCTGTCAAAAGCTGAGTGTGTGTAAAACTTGAAAAATACAGCGAAGTTTTCACGCCTGGTAGCTTTTTCCCAAGAGATGCTGAGTTGTTGTAACTTCTCATCCATTCATAAATGCAAAACTTCTCACCTCTCTTCCAGATTCTGTGATGGAACTGTTTTTCCAACCGAGAAGTGTGACTGTACATACAGTACACTGGCAGTCGTGTGGCTGGAGTCGGGCTGTTATCAGTAACTTTAGTGTTAATGAAGAGTTTTCTCCATTTTGGGGTTCTGCATCTTAACTAACCCTTAAATACTACTGATGTGTAATGCTAATTTGGGATAAGTAACCTCGCTAGCTGAAGGGAGTTGGGAGAGAGTTCCCTGCAGTTACTTCTCGGGGCTTTGTGTTTGAGCTACACAGAATAGCTGCGAAGTTTAATGAACCACACAAGGTATATTGATTGCTCTGTGTTGCTGAATTAGGCTTATGGGTTTCTATATGTTTATTTTTTTTTTCTTTCTCTTCGGCAGCTGCGGATAACTGTGTGGTCCTTGTGTACGAAATCTGTATCTTACATCAAGTATCCCAAAGCCTGTCAGCAGGGTAAGCGTCACAAATCTACCACAGGAATGGTATTTGTTTAATACAGCAGAAGGGAAGGTGAATTTGCTGTGTGATGAGGGAACACGTGGGCTCTGGCACCCTCCCTGCTGAGGCGTCAGCTCCCCCTCAGGGACGCGTGTCCCCAGGGGTGGTGCCTGGGTGCCACCTGCTGCAGTGCCCTGGGATGTCCGCAGTGCCTGAGGGCTCTCATCTGCCTCTCCCTCAGATACCTGTCTTGGCTGTGTTTGCCTCTGAAGGGTCCTTTAGACATTAAATTAAGCTGGATGCAGTGGTGATGAAAAACACTAATCCCAAGTGGCTTTTGTCATCTTTTACACGTGAAGAGACTTGCAGTGGAGGCTCGTGTCGGGGCTGTCGAGCCACGTGGCTCTGGTTAGCAGCTTCCTGCCTATATAACATCCCACATATGACAAAGACAATTATGTATCCCACAGAAAATAAGAATAGATGAGGACGGGTGCCTGGAAGTTGGTGGAGTACCAGTGGTTGCATAACTAATCCATTTAGCCAGGCTAGCTGAACAGCTTGTTTGGGGTCTGGGTTTTATTTAACAGCCGTCTGTCAGCAGTCAGGGGGTTTCTGAAGCAGGCTGCAGTTCTGCAGAACCTGCACTTAGAAACGGCACGTGCCAAGCTGACGAACTGCCGACAGAAGCAGATTACTAACGGCGTGCCTTGCCTTGATGAATGTGATCTTCCCTGAAGATACTCTTCCTCCTCTTTTCACTTCTTGGAATTGGGAGTAACTGCTTTTGATTGAAGAATCACCAGCTCTTCCGTCTTCTTTTCTCTCTGCTGAACCTTGGCTCCCTGGCAGGGATAGCTTTCACGAAGGACGGCCGCTACATGGCAGTAGCAGAAAGACGTGACTGCAAGGACTTCGTTAGCATCTTTGTGTGCAGCGACTGGCAGCTCCTGAGGGTAAGAGGTGTCCTTGCCTTCCGCAGGTCCCGCTCAGGCTACGAGCGATGGGCCACGCTGCTTTAGCCTCGTTCCCTTCGGGTTTAGCCTCACCAGTGCATTTTCTCCCCAGCACCTGGCTCCTCCTCTCTTCTGTTCGGGGGGGCCAGGCTGTGCTACGTGTGCGTAAGGAATTTCTGATGGAAAAGTTCACCTTTAAATTCTTGCATGAGCTTATTTACAATAAATATGCTACATTAATAATAACAGAAGTATCAAACGCTTGATAAAGTGATCGTTTGGAACGTAGAGTATAAACTGTTGTATTTTCTGTTTAACAGTGAGACCAGTCTGTGAAGGACGCACACGAGCGTGTCTTAAAGGACCGCGTAGATCTGAGAAATTAAACCCCATTAAGAACAAGTCTGTACATAGTGTCACCTCTGAGTCTCATTAGCAATATTTGGGAAATGCCACTAAATGCTCATCATGTTCCCAAGCTCTTCCCTCATGATCCTGTCCCAGTCTTTGAGGCAAGGAGTTAGGCTGGCTAGATTTCTTGACTGGTTCAGTGTAAAAACTTTTATTTTATTACGAAATGCTGTTCGTTTTAAGGTAGATCAACTCTCTGCCTTTACAGAAGAGGGAAACCGAAGGAACGGTGAACGCAACATGCTGTTACAAAAGGGAATATTTCTGTTCCTGTGCTGGCATACAAAAGGCTTTTTTGCCTTCGTGGTAGCACTGAAAAGGGTAAAGCTGAGGACTGTGTTAGGTCAGATGCAACACTGTGTGTTAGAATATTTCAAATGGGTTTGTTTTTTTTTCTCTTGGGGGCAGCATTTTGACACCGAAACGCAAGATCTGTTTGGGATTGAATGGGCTCCTAATGGCTGTGTTCTGGCAGCGTGGGATACGTGTCTGGAGGTATGAGGAAAAAGCAGATTGTGTTCTTGGAGAGTTCGAGTGAGTTTGTAGCTGCTGTGTATAAAGCAGTAACTAAAATAACTAATGTTATAATTTTTTTTTCTTTTAAAAATAACAAAAGCTGAACTCGCACCGTTTTAAATATTATAATTGTATTGGTAATGGACGTCCTTACAAGTGTACATCAAACTTATGTAAATCCTTAATGTCAGCATATTATCTTACTAGCTTACTTCCTAATTTGTCTGGAAGAAAACAACTTGATTGTAAATGTTGCAGAAACCACTATGGAAATAATGAAAGAAAAATGAACGAATTCTTCTGTAGGACTCTTCTATCTGAGTGCTGGGCTGGAAGGGCCGTGGCTCGGGCCCCGTGGGCCTGCTGGGCTCTTGGGCTCTTGGGCCAGGCTGGGTGTGTTCTGGGATGCCAGCAAAGCCAGACTGGAAGCCCAGGGCCTCTTGTCTCAAGTCACAGATAAGAGAGCATTCCCTTTTGTATTGAACGTGCTGCAGGGAGAGTTTGGAAGGAAGGGGTTGGCCTGTCTTGTGGCTTTTAGCAATACTGTTAGTCTTCAGAATGAATCTCTTCATCTTCCAGTATAAAATACTACTGTACTCCCTCGACGGCAGACTGCTCTCCACCTATCGGGCCTACGAATGGTCGCTAGGCATCAAAGCCATCGCCTGGAGTCCCAGCAGTCAATTTTTGGCAATTGGCAGCTATGATGAAAAGGTAAGAAATAGGGTTTATTTTCTATCTGAACCATTTGTAGAACTTCGTTGCAACAATTTTGTCTGGCAATGCTTTCTTGAATTAGGTGCGTATCTTGAACCACGTCACTTGGAAGAAGATCACAGAGTTTGAGCACCCAGCAACCGTTGCGAGCAGCAAGACCGTAAGTACGGCCCCGCAGTCTGTTGAATCCTCATCAGTGCTTTGACGCTGCTTTTGTATCTGAAAGATGCTAGTAAATCCATTTCATTCTGGAGACCTTGCTTCTTCCACTCCTGGTGTGTAAATAGGGCCTGGGAAATTGCATGAAAATCTGGCGACTTAAGGAAAACTGCGGAATCCTTTCAAGTTCAATGAAATGCACACACACGATCCTCTCAGCGTTAGCGCTAATCAGGTCTCAGATGACTTCTGTCATAGGCTGCTGTGTTTTGATGTGTCTGGTGGTTGCGTTGCAGGTTGGGGTGTGCAGTTGATGACAAACTGGGAGACTTAGCAGGAGAGCTTTGTCTCAGCTTTGTTCCATTTGTGACTTCAAACAGCGTTGGAACTGGGTTGTGATCAGGTTCACATCTTGTGTGTACAAGCTCCCCTAAAGAGCTTTTCCTGTAAACATCTGTCATTGTTTGCTTTCATCCTCGCATACATGTATACACAAGGCCAAACAGATTCTGGGGAGCTGGCAGCAGGCAGAGAGCTGCAGCTTTTGTTCCAAAAATCACAAGCTGTTCCCATCCAGCAAGGTAAAAAGCAGACGCGGTGTAGTAGTGCTGCCGCAGAGGAGGGAGTGTTCCTGCGGCCTCGAGAGTTACCTGGGGAACTTTGTCACGTGCACGTGACTCTGGTGATGCTTCTTAACCAGAAGCAAGGCAGGATCCATTAAATGGGCCTCAGCAAAACTTCTCATGACTGAAAAATGTCCTTACGCCCAGTTAGGTGTGAAACAAATGAAAACAGCTCTGTCAATCAGTACTACCCAGACAGGAATTCAACTGGTGCATTTTATCCTGGTGCTTGCTTTTAGGAATAATGTGTTACAGGCACACTATTAAAATATCTTTGCTATTTCCTTCTGCGGTGTTGCACTTTATTTGCATTTATTGATGATGGTAAAGATTCTTTGCAAAAGTGAAATCTGTGTTCCCGTTGTAATGAAGATGATTTATTGTGCTGCCAGGTTTAGCTCTCAGGAACAACGAATGAGGTGTACTCTGGCAGGCTCGTTCTCCATAGACTTCAAGGTTCATTTATTTGTCACGGGAGTGTTTTCCTGATCGTGGTTCCAAACAGCAAATGATTCACTGAAAATGCTGGATTCAGTGTTTGCTGGCTGAAGCCCTTTCCCCCACTGGTCAACTAGGGGATGCTGAGACATAATACACCTGAAACCGAGTCAGTGGGATGTGGATGATTTGGTAATAGCCCGTGTTCAAGTTCTCCGAGGCCCTTCTGTAGAACTCTCACTTGTTTCTTTGTAGATTGTGTATAAAGAAGTGGAGAAATCCCCATCTGTTGAAACAGAGAGACTTTCTTTCCCTCCAACAAGAGCACTGGCTAGTTCTCTCTTCAGCACACAAAGTAAATGTAAGCCAAAGTTTACTAAAACGAGACACTTGAGTTTGCCATGCAAAGTCTTTTTAAATAAACATCGGAGGTGAACTCTGCCTCTGGAAGAGCTCCCTGGCTGCTCTGCTCAGGGCTCCCGCGAGCCCAGGGGCAGGAAGCCCCCGCTGCAGGGCAGCCTCCCGCCACGGCGCTCTGAAGGCAGGTTAAGGACTGGTGGGATGTTGCAGAAAAGAATTATAATTGCTTGGGGGTGGAAATGGCAGCCAGATCTCCGTGTGGAGCTGCTTGCAGAAATTGTCTTAATGTGGCGTGGATTTTTTTTTTCCGATTTGCTCCATCTATGCAATGTTATTTGATGACTTAGTTTAACTGCAGATAATTGCTGGAATCAGATGAAATATTGCAGTTGAGAATCTTACCATGGTGTGTGGCAGTTCCAATAATTTAAACAATCAGAAGGTGTTACAGTCTTGCTGTCTGTTTTGGGATAGCGTTTGATCCCTTGGGTATGAGGTTATATAAAAAAGCAGAGCATGAAGAAGGCCGTTTGGCTTTTGACTAAGAAGCTGTAGGTGTAGCCGTGCTTTAAACTTGCCTCCAGACAACAGGCTTTGAAATATTAAACAGATGGCAGGCAACGTACGATTAGTAATTTTTTCTATTTTTGTTACTGTCTCGTTGTTTGTGGTACTGTAAATCAGTTGTTTTTCATTGGCGTTTGCTTGAGATACTAGTTAAAAGGTAATGGAAAACTTTTTTTTTTTGTGGTAGTTTAATCTCAGACTTGCCTGGATTTTCAGCTTTTTTTTTTTTTTGTAGAAGAGTGAGAACAGTAAACTGTTTATGTGAAGATGCAGTATCTTAAAACAATTGAAGTTTTTGATAGGAACACCTTGGAGAAGAGTAAAATATGGTCCTATCACTTCAGAGAGAAGGATTATTTTTTTTTAGCAGTTGAAATTTAAATATTTTGTCCATTCGGGCTTGCTTAATAAACTATTTTTATTTCAAATTCCAGATGACGTTTCCCAAGTACCAGTTTCTTTACAGCATATCAAACCAGTTGCTGACAGGGCCAATCCCAAAATGGGAATCGGGATGTTGGCATTCAGTCCAGATAACTGTTTCCTGGCAACCAAAAATGGTAAGTTCCTACTGCCCTGCTCGTTGCGTGTGGTGTGTTTTCGTAAAAGAAACGAGGACAAAAATTGGTCAGTTGTTTTGCACTACGGGAAGACTCATGGCCCTATTTAAAATCGGCTCTCTGCTGTGCAGACACGTAATTGCAGAGGAAATTCAGCCTGTGTCTTCTGGCGTACGTGAAGTATTGCGAGCTGCCAGCACTGCTTATCAGCACCTTAACTCAGTCTTGGCTTTGTACTTAATGAAAATAGCATGCTTTTTGTATTTCTTCAGACGTATGTGAGCTCACTGTATTAGGAAATGAAAGACACAAATCGTTCCTCCTCAATTTACAGGAAAGGTCTCTTGAAAGGCAGGATTCTTCACAACCTCTAGTAGGGGGGTTTTACTCAAACAGTGCAAGTCATGGAATGAATGTTTCATCTTTCCCTGCGATGGCCCTGAGGGGCTGTTTGTGTCTGGATGCAAAACCCAACAACAGCAGTATAATTGGGAATGATTCGATGAAGCCAGTGAAGGACTCCAAGACAAAGTCACTTCTTTTATCCTTTTTTTGCAATATTTCCAAGGAGGGAACTGCTAGGCAAAACTGTAGTGGTGTTAAACCTGGGGTGTTCCAGAATGCTTTGTGTTGTGTTGGACCTCAATGCGCATTTCTTCAAAGAAACAAAAGCATCATCCTTTTATCCTTCAGTTATTTACGTGATCGCCTCTTCCTTTTCTGACAGATAACATTCCTAACGCGGTGTGGATCTGGGACGTTCAGAAGCTGAAACTGTTTGTAGTTTTGGAGCAGCTGTGTGCCGTCCAGTCCTTCCAGTGGGACCCGCGCCAGCCCCGCCTGGCTGTGTGCACAGGGAACAGCAAAGTCTACCTGTGGTCGCCCGCCGGCTGCGTGTCGGTGCAGGTGCCCATGGAGGGTAAGGCTGCTGCTGGAACTTCACAGGCCTCTTGTTTCCAAAATATTTTTCCACTTGTAAATCAGTCCGAGCATTATCATGTAAACGGCTCGGATGCGTTCTTGGAGCTTTGTGAAAACGGGTATTTCTGTCTTCAGAAAAGAGGAGTTCATAATGAGATGCAGAAAACATGATGAAACAGCACAGACAGAACGCAGGGGCTAACAGCAGTTTAATTGTTGCTTTAATTGTGTGGTATGTTGAGTGTTTTTTCTCAAGATTTATATTCATACCAGTTTATTTACACAGAAGCTGTAGTTATACGTTGAAATAAAGACTCTGAAGCACCCATAATGTTTTCAAAATGCCCCAAACCAACTAAACTACAACAGAACACTAACAAGGAAAAACGTGTCTGGTAAATCTGATGCAGAAAGACAGAACATCCCTGAAACTGAACTCTAAGTCAGCCGGAGTGAGAAGTTTTACGGTTGGCAGTAAGTGATGCAAGGCCATCAGCTAGATCACATAAAGGCCTTTCTGCAGGTTAAATAGAAATTTGAAAGGCTCAACTTTTTCCCTTCCAGACAAGGCAATGTCATAAGGGTATGCAGCTCTGCGCTGGTGAACAATCTTGTGGCATCGACTTGCATTAAAATGACAAGTCCACAAAATCCGTGCTCGTATTTGGAGTGCAACGTAACTGTAGGTTTGGGGATGCAGTTCAGCGGCGCGCCTGCACGGCTGGATTGGAGGCCACGCTGGCTGCGCTGCCCCAGTAACAAACGCCCTGCTGAGGCCTCCAGCCTGGGGAGGGTGTTTCTGCAGCCTGTGGCTTACTCCAGGTACCTCTTCCTGGAGCTTCTCACCAACAAACTGCTCTGTTCCTGCAGGCGACTTCCAGATCGTGTCTCTCTCCTGGCACTGCAGTGGAGACTCCGTGGCACTTCTGAGCAAGGACAACTTTTGCGTGTGCTACTTAGAAAGAGAAGAGGTAAAATAACAATCATTTGCATTAAAAATGCTCACCCATTTGAGGAAGAATGAGGAAAGGGGTCAAACCCTGTTGCCCGATCTGAAGTTTTTGTATTTATAAATTATTTATTTGAAGGAGCGTACTCAACCTCCGCTCTGAAGTACTGTGATTGCGTTTGAATGAGGTGACGCAGCAACTAATGTGTAGAGGACGAAGTCTGGATTGCAAGAAAACTTTTTAGCGTTGATTAACTTTCTCTTGAATTTTGTCAACTACAAACCCTTGTTTTCTAAAGTTGTAGCTGTGTGTATATAATGTATAGCTCTTATTTAAGTTTTATAATTGCCAATAAATATTTTGATAGTTACAAACTTGGTATGACTCTCACTATGCACCCGCACTCCTCTGTTCTAGCCTCTGCTTCTGTGCTACCAGAGCTGAGATCCTGGGGCCCTTTATCCCAGCCCAAGGAAACGGCCGCTCGCGCACAACAGTGTACAGCTTGTATCTGGTCTTGCAAGACAACAGGTTTTAATGGTGTGTGAGAATTAAATGTTGTGGCAGAAGTAGATGCATCAGTAAGACACTTGCTAGCAAATCAGTTGTTAAAGCAAAACAAGTTCTTGGTTCAGAAAGCAAATGAAATCGTCTGTAAAAATTTTGCTTTTCCAGACTGGGATGTTAACAGGTGATGGTAATTGTGCCTGGCCTACCATAAATTTATTATACTGACCCTTTACAAAAAGGATCATAACTGATACTTGAGAATTATATATTCCAGGCAGCTGAAATGGGAGGTTTTGACCCAAAGTGGAGCGGCCAGTTCAGCCAGGAGAGAGCCGTGGGAGCGTCCTTTACCCTGCCACCGAGTAGCCAGCCACCGTGTTCTTCGCAGGCAGGGAGCCCGCTGGTCAGGAATTCACTGGGTGTTTTTAATTCTGCTATTAATTTCAGCCTCCACAAAATGAAGAAGGAAAAACAAAGTGGGTTGAAATTTAACTTTACTGCAAGATTAATGAAAATAGACATCTTAAAAAATGCATTGAGAGGGGCATGCAAACTGCTGCATTCCATCCTAAGTTTCCTAAACACACATCTACTTTAAGTTCGATAAGAACCGCAGCGGCACAGCGTTCCTTCGGCACTGTAGTTGCACGGATCAGGGCTCTGATAAAACGGCGTGTGTAAGTCATACTCCATGGCAAAGCTTGTCAGAGTCACCTCATTTCACTTGTTGTGTCTCTGACGCTGCTTCTGAGTTTCCTCACTGGACCTTTGGTGAGATCTGGTGCAAGGATATGTAATTAAGACTGACGTTCAGGGCTTCAAATTTTCTCTGTCTCCGTTAAGTTCTGCACTGCTGCTGTCCCAAACTATAGATTTAAACAAAATTGCTTAAGAATATAAATCTAATCAAAATAGAATTCCTATTCAGTTTTATAAATAGTAGCTTTGAAGGCAAATGTGTTTGTGAGGCCTTTGGCAATATTCTCTCAAGGCTTTTTTTCTTGCTGCAGCCATAGAATGCATACATAAGAAACTAGTAAGTTAGGCTCGGTTCTTAGAGGGAGGTAAAAAGCTAATAAATGTATATTCAGCCATATAGTTCAGTTTACAAATAGCTCACGTGCTTCTGAGCAGACGAAACAGCACAGCTTGGGCAACATTTGCTGACTCTGTTTTGCTAAAGAATGACTGACACAGCTTTCAAAATTCTGAACAGGCACTAATCAAAATGCAAAGATTACTGTAATTGTGAACACTAACGCCTCTTTAAACAATACAAATCAATCCCAAGCACACGACGTGATTTGACACCATCTCTAGGGCCGGGAGTGTAAGGGAGCACCAACGGTCTGCTCTGTCCTGGACGCTTGTGCGGAGTGTTTGTAGCAGACGCCAATCGCACTTCATGAACAGGGAAGAACACGTAGTTAGAAATGGAAAACGCCACCAAGAACCGGGAAAAGCTGTAAATTAGATACAAGCCAGGTGAATGACAGTACCTGTGTCTGCTTCAGATTGATCTGACCCAGCCAGGGCCCCCCGTGAACCGCCAGACCTACGACCACCCCTCGGTTCCCCCGAACTCCCTCGCTTTGATTATCGAGCGTTCTGCCACACAGCGTGCTCTCCCCAGGGGACCGTGATCAAATCACCTTCCCTCGAAAAGATTAAATGGAATGAATTTTAAAATGCAATGAAATTTAAAATCCAATTTTGCCCCTTGTCATGGAGTAGCCCAGCTTGGCCTCGTTGTTGATGAAGGACATCAATCCCAGGTAAGTCTCGATCAGAAGAGGACGCTCCAGCACTAGCACGCCGTTGGCCCTCCCCGGCAATGGACACTCCTTATGGGCTTTCTTCACAGCTTGAATGAGGTGAGTTTTAAAGTTTTCCATCTGAAAGAAAACACACCAAAAAATCACCTTGATGTTTTTCCATGGTTTTAAAAATTGTGAGGCAAGCGGCTCCTGCTGTTGCACTGTAAAGGGTGAACGCTGAAGCTTGTGGATCTCATGTGCCATTTACATTCTGACACTTAATGTTCACTTCACCCTGGAGCACTGTTTACATGTAACTACACATGGGCTGGATGTGTCAAGATTTATCTAATCTTATCTAATACTGTTTATTTCTGACTAGTTCTCCTGCCCTTATCTCCGGTGTGTGAACTTACATCACTACAGTGTTCTGTTTTTAAGGAAACTTTCAGAGGAAAGCAACTATTGGGGGGGGAAAAAAACCCAAGAACCGCCTAAGTGCAGGTTTACAGTTAGCAATTAAAACTGTTTAATTGGCCAGCAGTCCTAGAGGAAAAGCCAGGCATCAGCCTGCCAGGTAAGCAAGAGTAGGAATAGCCCCAAGATCCATTTTCTTTTGGATTTCACGGGATTCTGCACTTCTAGAAGTTTCAGCTTCCTTCTTGTGTAAACCATTTATGGCCAGCTGGCAAAAACTCAGTTGGGCTGCCCTGCAGCTCAGAATCTGGGGAGTGGGGAAATGTAGCTTACAGCTCTAAGTTCTGTCTCTCCAATTGAATGGCTTCTGTTTAACTGCTCTATCTTTTCAAAATAATGAAATCCAGCCCAGGAGATCAACCAGCCCTCTAGAACAGGAGAGGTGATGTCCTTACTAGGCAAAGGGCCGCCACCTTCTCGTCAGCGTCTGCCATTGGGTGTTCGGTGAAGGTGACGTACGGGATGTTCGTGGACCACGGGTTCCATCTGTTTATGAAGGAGGCCCGACTCTGCTTGTCCCACTGAATGCGGATGCCGACACCTTCTCGCCTGGTGTTGAAGACAGCAGAATCAATATGGTAAGATTTTTTTCAAGCCTTTGAGGCAAGTTTAATTAGAAACGTACGGTCTGAAAAAGACCTAAGCTGCAAGCTGAAACATAAGCTTGATAGTTCTTCCTCTAGAACAGTAATAGAAGGATTCAGCCCCTAAACTACACAAAGGTCTGTTCTTACAAGCCAAGTGCAAACAGGTTACACTGAGACACCCAGGACACAACCCCTGAGCTGTGTTGCCCGTGACAGCCCATGCTTACGTATGACCTGCCGCTTACATGCACCTTCCTAGTCGTGCTGAGGTGCTGCTGCTGCTCACTGCGTTACAGAATGGGGGTGCACTTCCACTCCCAAATCCCTTCATCGTCTCTCGAAAGCCCTCGAGCAACTTGCTTTTAACATGGCTAACAGTCCCAGCACAGCAGCAGCTACTCTGGGGTGGCCTAATGACCCCTCACTAATTGCGTGTGAAGTGACACCCACGAGAGGAAGAGTTCTCCAACTTGCCCAGTGGTCAGCGATGAAGGTTGACCGCTCAAACCATTACAGTAACGCTACGAGAATGACAATGACCTTACGGTATTACTACAGCAACTCGCCTGTTGAGGGATTTAGGTGGGAACTCAAACTCTCCCACAGAGATGGTATCGACGGCGCCGAGGGAAACCCTGGTCACCTGCTGGCACTGCAGGCTGATGAAGTTGTACTTGCAGATCAGGAGGGACCAATCCGTGATAAGAACAAGACGCTCCTTCTCGTTGTTCCAGTGGTCGATTCTGGTGAGATAACGTGACTGAGCTTTAGCAGTTTTGATTGCTGGGTAGAAACAACAGCTTGACAGGTAGAAGGGCCACTAAGGAGAACAAATCTAAGTCTTGGTAATGCTGGATTTTCCGTTATGGCCTTTGCTTTGAATCAGCAAGTCTGACAAGAGGTTGAATGTCACAACACAGTCATGCTACAACACAGGAAAATACTGGGAAAATCAGAGGTAAGTCTGGAGAGTGCTCTAGTGCTATCTCCTGTTATGTGAGAACAAATGTTACTTAATGGGGCAGACGAGTCTCCAACAACTCTCCCAGTGTTTAATAACGTCCTGTATTGGCTAAATTATTAACTGCATGGGTGCACGTTCAGGGGAGAGAGGTAGTTCTACTCAGCTGTGTGATCTGACAGTGTTTTCCTCTGTGAGAACAGTCTGTACATTCAAAAATTAGTTGGTTTCTTTAAATTTTGTGAATAAAAGATCTCACCTTTCCCTGAGTTTTGCCAGACCACGCTGTTGAGCCATCACAGCTGTAATACTATTTCATCCTTAGGGCGACCTAAGAGTAGGTTCATCTTTTCAGTCTTAAGGGTAATGAACTCAGCTTTTAAACGACCACCTTTGCAATCTGCTACAGTTTATTTTTAATGTTATCCATTTAATTGCCTTTCCTGACAAAAACTGTCTGTCGTCTCGACAGGAGCACTGACGTAAAGCTGGCGAGACCGAAGCCGCCCTCGCTGTGTGAAGGTGAGTGTGAGGAGTGAGGCCAGGCCCTGGGCTGGAGCATCCCCCCGGCCCCGCCGCCCCTGCCTTCTGCTCGCCACGGGGGCTGCGCGGGGCGTGCGGAGCCGCCTTGTTCCCCGGCAGCGGGGCTGTGCGGCTCTCCCCCAGGCCTGAGACCGTGGGAGTTCCGCCAGCTTCGCGCCGCTTGTCACGGAGCCTGTCTGGGTGCGCGGGCCTGGCTTGTCATGAGGTGGTTTATGGAGCCACGTTGGTCGCTTTAGCGTAGGAATCCTGTGCGGTGCCGGGTTGCGTAAGCAGTGACCTCGGGGGCTTGGATCTGGATCCTGCCCTGGGCTGGGTTCTACAGAAACAGCGTCGCGGTTCAGCCCCCCGGGCCCTTCGCGGCGTCTGGGGCCGGTGCACCCGCGGGCACGGATCCTCAGCGCGTGGCTGCGGCAGCCCGGGCCCGGTGTCCCCCGGGCCGGGGC